AGTGCACAGACCTCAGTCCCTCCATCTAAAACTGAGGCTCCCAGCTGGGGGTGATTCTGCTCCCTGGGGCACATTCTGCAATGTCTGGAGACATTTCTGGCTGTCACGAATGGGGGGTACTACTGGCATCTAGTGGGTAGTGACTAGAGATGCTGCTAAAAGTCACACAGGACAAACCCCCACAACAAAGAATTACCCAGCCCAGAGTGCCAATGGTTCTGAGGCTGAGCGGCTCCTCTCATCTAAACACCTGGCTGGCAACCACTGCAACAAGTAAGAAACCAGCAGCAGAATATTCCAGGTGATTCTGTCCGTTTATCTAGAACCTTATTTTCTCTCCTCACATCATTTTCTTCTCTTGCCCTCGAATATCATCATAATCCCATGTCACTGTGCTAAATGTCTACACTGAATAATCTCCTAACACAACTCTTCTATGTTAGCAGCAGCAGAACGCATAAGAAATGGAAAGATTAGCAATAGCCAACAGGAAAATGAGCATTAAAATACAAAATAAATCCTGGAGATTCGACCATAATTATCAACTACATGCCTGGGAGGTGACTGTTCTCTTCTGGATGCCCTAAACCATAATTGTGCTCCGTGCCCACATGCATCCAACTCCGACGGCCATGAACACCGTCTCTGCTAAACACACACATGACTGCGCCGATTTCATAAAATGATTTTAATAGAAAAGTACAAGATATGAACAAAAATAAATAATCTTTATCTCATTTCTAGCCCAGCAAATTGTACACTGCATATAAAACTGGTCTCAGATGCAATTTTCCTCGCTCCTTTTTTGCCTTTGAAATACTGAGACAGCATTTGAGTTAAATCTTCTTGATTCAAATTGATACATTTTTGTCTTAAAAAATCATACCCAAGCTTTAATCATTCCATATCCATTTTTTTAAAAAGTTGGCTAACAAGACGAGGTTTCACTGAAATAAAATATCATCCAATTACCAGACTTAAGGGTAAAGTTTGTATGAACAGGTAAATTAGAAGATCCCTTTACTAAGTTGTAATTCCTGCATTGCTGTTTCCTGTTTTAAAAAAACTCATTTCATCATCTTACTTCCAAAAGACGGCATCTGTTTTTCACCATCCCATAGAGAGAGGGGAGACTAAAAAATACTCTCTAAAAAAATAAATATTTTAAAAGTACCATTTACAGTGATCAAGCAGTATTTTAGACCTATGCCTTGGTGCGTATTGGCATTACAGACGTGCTCTAAGTTCCAGGGACCTTCTCTATGTCGCTCTCTACTTCTATTGGAACCACTCAGCCTTTGGGGGCTGTTTTTGCTAACGATCTCTTGGAGTCGGCCAATACCAGTCTCTCATTTGGAACAGTTATCCTGTGAGAGTGTCATATTGGATCATTCCAGTGGCTTGCAAAATGGTTTGCAAAAACAAATTGAAACTTGGTATTGGCAAAATCGTCTGAGCCAGGGGTTTGGGTAGGCTACTAAAATATATTCCGTCAAGGAGGTCAGCAGCGAACAGAACAGATAAACTGAACCAAAACTTAAAGCAGTCTTCCTCTTACGTGACTCCATCATTACTGTTTTGAACATGGCTCTGCTTGCTGCTGTCTATACACAAATTTTTTTGTTAATTTTCCTGTATTGGGAAGATCTTGAATGCATTCCAGAATGCGAAGGAAAAAAAAATATGCTGACACTCCTAAATCAAGTATATGTTTTTGCAATAAAGAACACTGGTCAATATACAACTGAGGAAAAACTGAAACAGATGTGAGTCCTAGAACCACAAGCGTTTGAATTTGCCCAGAAATGCTATTTTAAACACTCTATATGTTGGTCTACTGTTTTTTTGTGGAATAATGCATTCTTGGCATCCTTAAAAGGTTTCAATATGTTACAAGGTTATCCAGAAAAAAAGCAAGGAAAAAAAAAAAAAGCAAAGGGCTAACATATCAATCTGGGCAGCGCTGGCCAGACTTCGGCGTGCCCTTTCGGAAAGCACGAGAACCCGTATTAATTGCACTTCACACAACGAGCCTTTAGTTTCCCATGAGTTTTCATTCTCTGCAGACTGAGGCTTGCTTTTCACGAAATGACTCTCAATGGGGAACAGAGACACTCCAGTCCACAGTAACTTCAAATAGCGAGGTGCAATCCTTGCAGTGGTAAACACAGATACACTTCTGGGGCCTAAAACCCTGGTCCTGGGTAAAAGCATGTGCCTTTCAGTTCTCTGAGATGCTACAACAGCGACGCGCTCTAACACAATTAAGTTACATGCATAATGCTAAAAGAATGCGAGCAATCCTATACCCAGCTTTGCGCCATCTGCTTGATTTTTTGAGGAACATATATAGGAAAAGAGAATTCCCCTTTTGTTCTGTTACATATAGAAATCTTTTGAAGCTTCCAAATAGTTTGGTTTTGGGGAAAAGAAAAAAAAAATTCTCCGCTCTTCTGTTATGCTAACATGTAGTCACCCTAAACTCTCCCTCATGGTTTCTCAAAAAATCTCCACATGAATTATCTGAACGACAATTGAAGCCACTTACCAATATACAAGTAACATTTTATTTTATATTCTATCTTCCATTTGGCATAAGCCTTTTGATGTTTGTTTTTTAAACCAGTGAAATATACAAATCACGCAAGACAGAAATATGTACATTAAAAGTACAGAATAAAGGCCATAGAAGATATACATAATATCTGAATGACAAGTAGAATATTTTACATTAAATAGTTTCTTTTAAAAACTAGGATTGTTAAACTCAACTCTCTTCATAAACATGAATCACTAAGAAGGAACAAAATCTGGTTTAGCAAATAAAAACTTCATGGTTTTTGTATAATAAAAACCAAAAAAGTGACATTTTAAACTAATTAGTGCTTTTTAATTTCAAGATCTTTTGCTTGCAATTCACTGCAACTGAGGGGAAGTGAATATCCTTGTGCAATAAATTAAGAGCCACGCATGGCTGAGGTGATGCGAAGGCCACCAAGCCCATGACGGCTGTAGGAGATGTGTATCTTTCCAAACTTCTCAAATCATGCAAGTCTGAGATAAGAACACGGTGGATGGCACTTTGTGGAAAGAGGTTTCCTGTTTTAAAAATTAGTTGCATATGTCATGAGCTGGATTTTCCTTAGGGACTCAAACAGGGACTACTAAATCTACCAGGCACCGGTTTCCACTCTGCAAAATGAACTAAGGAGAGAGAAATGATGACTATGCTTCCTAGTTTTAAATCTCTCTTCATTTCCAAGACTATGATGAACTAGTAATGCCCTCTTAGGAAAGTGTACAGAAATGGAGGTTAACCACAATGTCACTGTCCAAAATGACATTAATTTTAGAGACAAACGAAGATGTTCTTAAAACTTAACTTTTTCTTAAATCTGTTTTTATATACCAAAAGAATATTTTCAAACCAACATGCATATCAGGGAGGAAGGCCTTCCAGATTCCTCAGACACCAGGCTGTTTCTTGATGCTCAAGGTAGCATCACATCAGGGCCACAGCCCATGCTCAACTCGAAAACCCCTTCTTAAAATCCCAATGAATCACAATGAAGGACAACAACGTTCTAGACCAAGAAATAACCCCAGAGGAAAGTGTAATTCTAAATCACTGGCTGCACTGAGATATAATAATATTTATATTTTTATATATACATATATATGTATATATATATATGTGTGTGTGTTATGTACAAAAGACTTTGAGATATCAGGCACCATTAAACCACATCCCCCCGCCCCCCGACCCCCATACATGCAACTGCTCCGGTCCAGTAGGAACAGTTGTAGGGTTCACCTGCAGTGTCATAGGAAAAGCTCAAGTGCAGCGTCTAAACACAGGATCGTAACAGTGACATGCTGCAACACCTCTGTGGACTCCATCAGCCAAGTAATGTCATTAAAACATAAACTATGGCTCCTCAGAATCCAAGTTTTAGGGGGGGAAAAATCCCTAAGTAGCAACTGTTTTCCAAGTGGAGCTCCTAATGGTTCATTTCCTGTCCTGCAATCCAAGGGGACCCGGTGGAGCTGCCTTGGGAAACGGAGCGGCCTCACCTCCGCAGCGGGCAAGGAGGACTCAGCCAGGGCTGGGGTCAAGGGGGAGGGCGGGTTCCACTCCTTCCCTGCCATCAGGTTTTCTGCTCTGGTGCAGCACTGAACTGCATTCAATTACCTTGGTGTTTGGGCGGAAGGTCTGTGAATGGAATCCATTTATTATTTTGATTATTATCATTTATTAACCAAGTATCCCTAAGAAAATTACAGTATATTTTCCTTTAGATTCAAGCCAACCGCCCCCACCCCTCTCCAAACAAAAAGTCTACAACCCAGAGTCATTCAGGGATGCTTTCCCAATCTGATAACCTAATTCCTGTAACAGCTTCAAATCAGTCTTAATATAGGAGTTTTCAAGTTTTTTTTTCCTTTCTGAGGCTTTCCTCCCTGCTCCCCAAGTTTCAGTAGCTGTTAGAATGGGACCATCTGTGCATGGAATGTTTGAGAAGCATGAGATACATGATACACTTTTTTTTCTTTGCGGGAAATGAGATTCTCGCTCTTACATTTTAAATTACCATTTTGAAAATGTTTCAGGCTGGTAGCCCCTGGAGAAAGGGGAGGGGGGCCTCATTTTTTTTTGTTTCATTTCTTTCTCAAGACCTTTCACCAGAGCATTTACAATTCATTTTGGTCATCGAGGCTAAATGGAGTGTAGACTTGGACCAACCCCTTCCAGCTGGATGCTACCTGTCCTATACAACCCCACAGTTGACAAAAAGAAAACGTATTTCCTTTACCCTCTAGATGTGCACACAACTAAGTCAGGGTGTGTGTTATTTCCCCCCTCATCCTACACCGTCAAAAGAAGTCTTACCTTTTCAAAGATCCACAAAATAAATATTTTCTTGGTTCCCACCCTCCATTATTGCCAAATAATAATTATAATATTAATAATAAACCACAGAGTTCTTAGATGGGAACAGAAAAAAAAATGGTTCCGGTTGCAATTCTCGGGGGAAAATAAAACAATATTTTAAAAAAAACAAAAACAAGAATCACTGTACTTTCTATAAATAAGTGGGTCCTGGGAATGGGGCTGGGTGACAGGCGAGCGGCGGGCGCCCACTATTTGCACACGAACTGGTCCACGATCTCCGTGCACTTCTTGCACTTGACGTAGCAGCACCAGTGGAACTTGCAGTGGCAGCGCTCGGTCTGCACGGTCTTGAACTGGTCATAGCCGCGGCCGCAGCACATGAGCTCGCAGCCGTCCATGCCCTCGGACGTCTTGTTGCACAGGCGGCCCTGCGTGCCCAGCGAGCCCGTGCTCTCATTGCGCACGCAGTAGTCGGGGCTGGGGTCGATGTAGACCAGGTCCTGCGTGGTGGGCGAGTTGAAGCGGCTGTTCACCTGCACCAGCTTGCCCCGGCCGTTGAGCCGCATGGCCGCCGCGCTGTCATACTTCTCCTTCAGGGCGTCGCCCACCTTGCGGAAGTCGGCCAGCTGCAGCCAGCACGTCTTGAGGCTACAGGAGCCGGACACCCCGTGGCACTTGCAGGCCACATCGGCCAGGTTGTACACTGTCTGTGGGGACATGGGACAGTCAGTTTACAAACGCATGGAGGCGGCCCCCAGCACAGGCAGGGCTATGTTAACAAAGCTCCCCATGGAGCCACGTTCCCCACTACACTAGGGGCTGGGCTACTTCCTCCTCATTCTCCACTACCTGAAGTCTTTATTGCTTTCTTTAAAACTGGGGTGGGGGACCTTTTTTCTGCTATGGGCTATTTGGCTATTTATAACATCACTCGCAGGCCATACAAAATTATCAACTTAAAGATTAGCCTGCTATATTTGGTCAGGCATTTAATTAACTCAACCCTCGCAGGGCCAGACCAAATGATTTCGTGGGCCTTATATGGCACCTGGGCCGGACGTTCCCCACCCTGCTTTAAACAGTCACCAAAATAAATATGTTCTTAGCCCCTCATTATTACACATCATCATAATAAACAACCACAGCTCTTTAATAGGAACAGGAAAAATTTGTTCCAGTTGCCTCTGTTTTGTAGGGAAACAACATTAGCAGCAACCAATGCAGCCTGAACGCTCTCCCCAGAGATGGTGAGCAGTTCTTTACCTGCACACCTAGATTAATCCCCACAACCAGCCTATGAGGGAAGTGCTATTTTCACTCCCATTTCACAGAGAAGGAAAATGAGGCCCAGAGAGGTGAGTTACCTACCCAACTAATGGGAAGTAGGGGTACCAGGATTTGAACCCTGGCAGTTGGGCTCCAAGCTCATGCTCAGTAACTTGCCTATGGGTACCCAACTGATAAGACTGGGAGGGGTCCAGCCCAGGTAGGATCAGGGCTCAGATCTCTACTCACTATTACTATTATTGCTGTGTACCACGCACTGTATCAAGAGCCTTTACATTCTTTTCTTTCATTTAATCCTCCCAGCAAGGTTATCACATAGGCTGGTTTAGATGGTGACACAGTGGCACAGAGAAGGAAAGTGGCCTGCACAGGTCACACAGCTAGAGTGTGGGAGAATTGGGCCGGGATCTCAGATCTTCTCCCGCCTGCTTCCTGAACCATCCCTACCCCTCTCTCCACTGCCTAGGCTGAGAGCACCGACCTGGACCCAGGCAGACCTGGATTCTCTCCTGACTCTACCTCTGAATTCAAGCTATGGGCGTCCGCTCTCGGAGCCTCCACTTCCCATCTGTGTAGGGGACTGTGGCGGCACCAGCCTCAGCACTGTCGTCGGGATAAATTAGAGGATGCTCTGAAAGTACTTAGCGTGCAGGATGGAATCAGTAACTCTGGTCTTTCTCCAGTGTGACAAGGGCATGGCATCTGGGCCCTTCCCAATCACCTGAGCCTCGGGTCTGGCCTCAGAGCACTGTGCCCAGAGTCCGGGAGGTGGCGGCTGCCTATTTACAGCCCTGATGGCCCACAGTGCCTGGGCCGGTTACCCTCCAGAGTCCGAGTGCTGTTGGCAAGAACCTGGAGGCTGGAGTGAGTTAGAAGGCTGCTTCCACCCAGCATAGCCACGACCTTCCTCCAGGGGTTCTGAAGGGGCTTTCTTAAAAAGGGGGCCAAAGTCTGTTCCCTTGGCATAAAGAGTTTCAGGCACAGCTAGTCTGAGGAAGGGTTTTGCAAACATATTTAACCTTCACTCCCCCATGAGGAAAATAAAAAGCTATGTCCCGAGGAGATGCTAATGGGATTTCCTGGCACAGTATCCAACTTCCCTGCCCCACCCCCACCAGCCTGGAGAAAAACTGTCTTCTATGTAACCTCATCCGCCAGGATACACGCTCAGCTCACTGCTCGAATTAGAAAACTTATGGGGAGAATCCTTCAATATTAAAAAAAAGCAGATGTTAAATGAAATTATAATATTAAAGGTACTTTTCCAATTCTGCAAAATTCCCTCCCTTCACTTGGAAATCCCTTGACCTGTTCTCCTTGGTTGCTTAGCCCCTGCTGACTTTTCTACATGAGAGAAGTGTAGGAAATCTTCCAAGACGGATGAAAGCACCGAATATGGGCAGAGTGGGCCCAGAGCAGCAGCCACATCTCTGTCCCCAGGGCATGTCCTATCTGAGGCACTGGGCCACTGCAGCAGAGAGTAAAGGTGTGCGTCTCTGATGCGCACAAGAGCAAGGTCTCTGGGCTCCCAGAGACCGCAGGGTTGACATGCCCATTGCACAGCCTTGGGTGGGCCATCCTGAGGAGAGAGAGTTCAGACACCCTATGGTAGATGACCTGAGGCAGGAGAGGCCACACTCCCTCTGGAGCAATTATCTGACCCCTCAGGGCAGCACAGGCAAAAATCTGCAGAGTTCAGTCCTTCCCCAACACCACCAAATGTTTGGCATCAAATCCGAGAAGGTAGGATAGCTGCAATGGTCTATATCTTCTATTTCATAATGTTTAGTAATTATCATTTATCAAGCACTTTACTATTGGCCAACACTAAAGGAAGACCTTCGATGGAACCATAGGAAGTTGTTATTTTGTAGGTAAGAAATAGTCACATACTGGTATTTCACATGGTTCAACCTACTATATGATCCCTGTTAGTGCTCAAGATAACTTCAAGTTAATGCCATGGCCATTTAACAGATGTGGAAATGTGGAAACCGAGGCTCAGATACAGACAGAACTGGATTTTAGATTTTGCTGTTTCCAAAAGCTATATCCCTTCATCCCTAAGCTGTGATGCATGAGTTTAATTTTTTTTAAAAAAAGCACAAAGCACCTGGTTTATATCTCACTCCATTAATTCTCTTCCACAGCCATGAAGTGTTTCTCTAGGCCTCAGTTTCCCAATCTTTAAAATGGGGGTGTGCAGCCAGAGGGTTCTAAGACTCCTTCCAGTTCTGGATATTTGACTTTGTGATTATCTTCCCTTCTCCTCATCCCAAAATACAGAAGGGTGAAATCTCTGACCAGAAAGTCCCTGGCACCTACCTTTCCCAGGGGCTCTGTGAAAAAAATAATGACCCTGGTTTTCAATGCTGCCAAAGAGAAGTTTTCACCCCTTCATTTTAGAGCAGCCATAAAGTGCCATGTGCTTCCCCGCAGGGAAAAGGGGTCCTTTTAACTATTGTGGAAGGAGGGAGCAGAATGGGGACACTCAGGAGGGCCTGCAGATTCAGTCCCCTCTGGGCACTTCTGAGTGGCTCTCTCATCCCTCCAGAGGCACCCACAATTGGCCTGATGGTCAGACTAGAAAAATGCTGTAGTTTTCCTATAAAAGCTCTCTCTCTTTTCTGTTTTCTTTCTTTCTTTTTTTTCTTTTTCTTTTTCTTTTTTTTAAGAAAAGCCTTCAGTCCATCAAGCTTGCTCTCTAATGGCACAGGGAAGAGAAAGAAAGGTAAATCCTGGAGACTGGGGTGAGGGTTTCTCAGCTGGGCACTTCCTGGATAAAGAACTCACTCTCCCAAAGTTCAGCCCAGCCACAGACCTGTTCCAGGGAGGAGGGCAAACGTGGCTAACTTTTTTACTTCCAAGCTGGGCTGGCCAATCGCGCTGGGGACTAATTAAAGGGGCAGAGAAAGCTCTTTGTCAGGCTCCTGCCGAAGCACCTTGGCTAGAGGGTACACTGACCCCCAGGAGGCCTTTCTGGGGTGTATGCCCCTCTCCAGAGAGGCCTGAGGTCTTGGGGTGAGGGTGGGGGAGTGGGAGAGAGCAGGAGGAAGGGAAGAGAGAAAAAAAGACAAACAGAGAGAGAGGGAAGGAGAGCAGAAAAGATAGAAAGGGGGTTGGAGACAGAAAGAGGGAGACAGAGATGCAGAGAGACAAAGAGACAGGAACCCATAGAGAGAGGCAGAGAGAGGGGTAGAGAGGCCGGAAGAGGCCCGGCTTGGTTGTGGGGGAGACAAAGGGAAGCAGCATGCACGCCACGGGGCACTCACCCTGCGGCCGGCCTCGTTGTTGTGCAGGTTCATGAGGATGCGCGCGCTCTCGTAGGAGCCTTTGGCGTGGATGCGCTCCCGCTCGCGCGCGTCCACGAACTCCTTGGCGAAGCGGTAGCCGTAGTCGATGTTGTCGCCGCAGCCGCCCCACAGCCAGTCCCTGGGCAGG